CAAATATCGTGCGGAATTTTATTCGCTGTGCGTAATAAAATCGCGAGAATAAAAATCGCGCAATGAATATTCGCTGTGCGGACGAGGTCTTAGGCTTCGACAGCGGTGTCATTTCACGCTGGTATTCTGTGCGAGCGTGGGTCTTCCCCGGTCGAGCCAATCCATTCGTGGTGCAACCTTAACACACTCTGCGTAGCTCTATCTCATAAGTCTTTGTGTAGAATATTTTTAATTACTACACTTCCAGTCATGGATCTAGCATATACAGTACGGTTATTCGTACATCGGATCGTTTGTCACCCTTATTCTATATATAAAAAATGGATTTTTCCAGAGTTACCTGTTGTATTGATGTTCAATTAATCATAAAGAAAAAAAGAAACCACAATTATTTGTGTAGTTTAGTAATAAGCTAATAAGTAAGTTTCTTAACAAATAATTATTATATTATATAAATTATTTCTGAACATAATGTAAATAAAAATGCGGTCTCGTTCTTCATCTTACGCCCGCAGCAGTGATCAACTAATTCCTGGCCTCCTATCCCATGCCACACCTTGTTGAGTTTGGGAAAAACGCAGTGGGCGTGACCCTTGAGTAATACGTTCGACTCAGATCCTTAAGGGGAAATATAACCTCAAATGGCTTAGCAAGATCCTCCGTTATGCCGAAAGTATTGCAGCATTAATTTTGAAATAAATATATGGTAAAGTTGAGGATTAATAATGATTTCTTATATTTACGCGAACACTACACATTGAAATAATACTAGTTTTTACGGAATTTATCGCGTATATTTAACTTTTTAATACCCGACGTTTCGTACGCTTTACAGCACTCATGGTCACGGGCGGGACTGAGATGTTCAACGTCCATATGTAATAGTTAACCGCGGTTACCATAGATTAAAATTTAACTTTTGTTCCGATCTATGCAGTATGAACTTATATCTTGAAGTCTTGCAGTTGTATGCTTGGGTTGGGATTTAATTTTATTTATTATAGGATCCCAAGCAGATGGTATCACCCAGCCATCTTCTCTATTGAAATTAAGATGTTTTTTGATTAATCATCCTTGGAAGGAATCTGTTTTCTTCAGCGAGGATTTGCGGTCTATCAAATCTGATGTAGTGACGGGGGCGATCCTGTACGTGTTCACAGACTGCTATATAAATAAAAAAGTTAAATATACGCGATAAATTCCGTAAAAACTAGTATTATTTCAATTGAGAATTAATGTTAAGGACTATGTCAGACGAAAACACGATTCCGTAAAATTTTCTCGATATAAAAAAAATCCAAAGTTAAAAAGAAGGAAACTACTCTCAATTACTTTAACTCACTAAAAAATAACCTCAAAGGCTTAAAATCCTCCGTTTGAAATTAATTATTACGAACGAAAACACGATTCCCTAAAATTTCCTCGATAGAAAAAAATCCAAAGTTACCTCCAAACTAAACAATAAACCGCTGTTATTCATAAAATACTTTAAATAAGATCATGTAACTTTGCATACTAACTATAAAGCAGTGCTTATGTTATTTACTTTTTTTAAATACCATTATTTTCACTGTAAAAATAAATTACCTAAACTATCGGCGTCTTGAAGCTTGATTCCTGTCGCCCCGTTAGTATCGCTTAGGCTTTTGAAGGGAGAAGTTGTGTCGCTTACGATCAGAATACACATTACGCAACAGGACGACGTAAAAATAAAATGGGAAATAACCGTGATAAAACATTTTCATAATAACACATATCATTTTAAGCAATTATATTTTACATTTTTATATGTATTAATTTTCAACAATGGTAGACACTCGTGTAAGTTGACAAACTCATTTCTACACGACTATGTAGTAGGCTCTTGCCATTTCTTTCTAATTTTTATCTCTATCCTTGTCTAATATATACACTATTTCACTCTAGCATTTAACTGTCCCCATCCAACTTATATATCTGTCTAACAGTGGTGAAGCTAGAGCTCCAAGATAGGGCAAGCCCAAGATATAAATTGATAAAAATATAGATTGTTGTTTTTAGCAGTTTTATAAAAATACACCAATCTTGATCTGTCTCCACGCTTCAGTTTCATATTCAGTGCTGTCAAGGACGTGTTTAACAAAGCACACAGAAGGCATACCACTGCTAGACAGATTGTATTACATATCAGCAATTGCATAGCTTCGGTGGCTTTGAAGAAAGCCGTTTGGGTTTGTTTAAGCGAAAGTAAAAAAATATTTATATCCAATACAATACATGAACAAAAGTAAAACACGAAAAAAGTACAAACAATGTACAAAATTAAAAAAAAAATTATTTACATTCTAATGGATAAGAGATAAGATAAGATAAGTGGAATCGTCTCGCTTTATTATGGACAGATTTAATTACGTCCACGTAAAATGTTGGTGAACGTTTTAATTGTACAAATAACCACCCACCACCAATGTTACCAATAATAGTCTGAAATACACTCTTAACCTTGTGTATTATCTCAACAAAGTTTAAAGATTTCCTCTCCGATTATCACTTTAACACACTTCAGTTCATCACAAGGAACACTATTAACCCTCATTTTCATTAAAAATCTTTAAAAAAGCATAAATTTTGAACTCATAATATTAAATCGCTTAAGATAATCACACAGAGTAAATAAACATTGAAACGTGAAATGAACTTGCAAACGTATTGCCCGCGCGCCTCCGCTTTTAACAAATTTATTCCCAAAAGCCTGGCTTTAAATCTCTATACTAATTGCTATATATACAATCGTAGTTATATTTCATTATAGAATATTTTGCCATAGGTTAGAAAGAGAGCGATCGTCTTCTCGAAAGCCCCGTAAAAAGCCCACGCGAGCGAGGGTGACAACTATTAGCTCTAAAAAAACAGCAGCAGTATCGCTAATGCAATACGAGGTCATCGTAGTTCGACGTCGACATGTATCGAACAGTGGAATGCGCGGGAAATATGAAATAGCTTGAAACATTTTACGAGTTATTTTATTAGTTGATATTATTGATTGATATTATTGATTGATTCAGGTTTAATAAGGCAAGCCCGGCTTTTCGGCTTTAATGGAAGCTTCGCCAATGCTGTCTAATATATACACTATTTAACTCTAGCATTTAACTGTCCCCATCCAACTTATCACTTATCAAAATACATATCTTTAAATTAAAGAAACATTAAATACAATTAGTCGTACGAGGGCAGCACTGAAAATTTCGGGAATCAAGGAAGTGACACAGCATTACTATTTAAAAATATATTTATTGCTTTTCGAAGTATTCTCCTAGAAATTTGACACATTTTTCCATACGATGGAACAAATCATTGCAGCAACCATTCCATTCGGAAGTTGGGGTCTCCATAATGGCCGTTTTGTAGGCGTCCACAGCTTCTTCGGTAATCTCTTCCACGCAATTTATTCTTATTTTAGGGAAAGAAAAATCATTAGGGCTTAGGTCGGGGCTGTAAGGCGGATGGTCTTATAATTCTATGTTTTCTTGCTCTAAAAAATCTTTTGTTCTGTGTGCGGTGTGAGAACTCGCATTGTCGTAATGGAGGATGATGCGGCGGTTGCAGTTCTCTTTACGGAGTTCAGAAACGACCTGTGGCAAACAAATGCTAGCATACCATTCTGCATTAACCGTTCTTTGTCCCTCAAGAGGAATAGTCGTAACATGGCCGGTTTTGGAGACAAACGTGGGCACCATTTTTTTTGCAAACCTCCGTGAACGAACAATTTTTGTTGGCTTTAACTCATTTTCGAATACCCAAACTCGTGACTGGTTTTTTGTTTCGGGTTTGTACGCGTATATCCAGTATTCGTCACCTGATACGATGTTGTATACAGCATTGGAGGATCCTGCGTGGAATCTTTCGAGAGTTCTGACGCTCCAAGTAACGCGAGCCGCTTTTTGCTCCTCACAGAGCGAATGCGGTATCCATCGGGAAAACAACTTTTTAACACCTAATGTTCATGCAAGATTATTTGTGTTTGACTCATGCTAATGTCTAAGGTTGCCTGAATTTCGCGGTATGTCACATGTCGATCTTCCTCAATCAGCTTATGCACAGCATCAACGTTTTCTTGGTTGACTGCAGTTTTTGGACGACCTTGACGGGGATCATCACTGAGCTTGACACGTCCACGTTGAAATTCAGCAAAACAGCGATAAATTGTGGTTTTGGATGGGGCTTCATCACCAAATGCAGAAATCATCCGGTCAACACACTGTTTTTGTGTTAAACCACTTCGAAAGTCATAATAAATCATCGCTCTTGAATTTTCTCGAGTCAAATCCATTTTCTCAACGACTAAACAAATTTGACAAAACCTTGTGACAAGACCGAGAATCTTTTTTTTAAATAAATAAATGGCATTCGATTTTTAAAACCAAGGAGTTTTCAATTAAAAAGATTTTAATATGACAGGAACAGTGGAAATATTCCATTCCCGATACTTTTAGTGCAGCCTAGTATTACATAGCTGATTGCTTTGTAATACATGACTAAGTTAATTCAAATATTGTTATCTTTCAGAAATTAGCAAATTAATATAACTTTGACATTTATCGTATGAAAAAATGAATGCTTTGAAGTGATGTTATCTCGTGTCGCCAACAGTAGATATAATTATGAATAAATCTAAGCATATTATTATATAGAGCCGGTTATTGTAGGTATTGTTTAATAATCCATGAACTAATAACGAAATTTTTCCGATAACAAAATTGCACGTTGCGTAGTGTGGAGCCTTGCAATTGCAATTTCGTGCTTCCCGCTTCTTATGACGCGCGCCAAAACATCGACAAAAATAGTCAAACAATACACGAAGGAAGCGCGTAGGTGCGAATCGATTTCAGATTATGTGTTCGCACATCGTTCAAGCCTTTCATGCATTCGCGTGCGATTTGCAGACCAAGTGTGAAGCCTGCTTTAGGAGGCACCGTGATCATCACCGACATTACACCGTGTGCTTGTGTGTGTTGCAGTAAACGTACCGACGGTGTCGTTCGGACTGGCGCTGGGCTGGGTGTCGCTGGCGAGCGGCGAGGCTGCGGAGGCTGGCGGTGAGGAAGGGGAAGGGGCGGGCGCGGTGGTGGCGGCCGTCACTACGTTCGCCGCTTCGTCACTCGGCGTGCCCATCAGCGCCAGAGCTCTGCGCTACGGCAGAAAATTTGCCGTTATAGCCACTTCGTTCACATTTGTGGTGAGTAGGCACTTTATATTAGCAATAAGACTCAATGACTTTAAGCCTCCAAAACATTATAGATGACCGAAGAATACAATATGCTATTTTGTTCCCCGTATGTGGTATACTGATATGATAGACTGATTTCGCCGAAATTTGAGTGATGCTACAGTTCCTTCATTGTTGCAAAGTTACTGTCGGTATATCGAAGTATGCCTTTCCCTGGTTCCCTTATGGACTGCGATGGATATCCGAGTACAAAATTAGACAACGAAACCTATCCAACTGCTGAGAGGTGTAAGAAAGGATGTTATATTCTCTAAACTCTTCACCGCTGCTTTGTATCACATTTTCAAGCTACTAGACTGGTAGGGTATCGACATCAATGGGTAGTCATCACTCGTAACTCACATAACGACCTCAATAGTGCCTCACAACTGATAGGACTTAAGATAAACATGGACAAAACAATGGTCATGTATGATGTCTATGTCACAGCTATGCCAGTAGTTGTTAAGAGGACTAAGCTCAAAGTAGTCGACCAGTATGTCTACTTAGAACAAATTGTCCTACTAGGTAATATCAATTTCGGTCAAGAGGTCTAGCCAACCAACTCGGCTAGACAGCGTTGGGGTGCTTATGATACATTTTCTCGTCACATATACCTACCACAAAACTTGAAAACAAGAATGTACAATCAATGATGACTTAATGGATCTGAGACTGGTAATGCTAGCCATATGAGGGAGCTCAAGGTTGCTCAGCGAACTATGGAAAAAGCTATGCTTGTGGTTTCTCCGCGTCACTTAGAAATTAGGTAGAACCAGAAAGCGGTAATGGTAATGGGCCGGCTAAATAGCTAGTCATGGATTCGACCCCCACAGAGTGATACAAGTACGTGCATAAATGCTAACATTGCACCCTGTGTGTGGCCTATATCGCATCACTTGAGTAAGCAAATGTAATAACGTCTGCATGAAAGATGTATTAGAATAAGTTTGCGATTGTTGAAGTACATGAGCTTCTGTACGGACATCTCTTAGTTTTATTTTAGTTTTTAAAAACGCCTCCCCCGCTCCCGTTTACTTGACTAGCTTCGTATCAATAAGCGACAGTGGGTGACCTCCCACTAGATAGAATGACGACCTGGCAAGAGAAGCAGGCAGTCGATGAATGCAGATGGCTTTTGGCATTCCTTGGAGAGGCCTATTTTCAGCAGTAGTATTTTGATTGGGTGTAATGACCGATAGTGATAAAACTCCCTGAGCTGCCATGGCTCTAAGTATAACTGAAAACGATTGTATTGCAACATTGCAGATATGCTGGTCTCTGAAGCTGGTGGGCGGTCCATGGTGCATGGTGGCTGCACGCACGGCGGCCGGATTGGGCGCAGCTGGTGCCTGGGCGCTGGCGCCCCTACTGGCCAGGGAGGTCAGTGCCAACCAACATCGACTGCCTTCATTACACTTACAAATGTTTTCTTCAACCAATCTAAAATATACATAATTCATACTATGTAAAATACACTGTATGAATTATGGAGCAATTATTTTATACCTTCTTAACGCCCAGGATTTTGCGACCCAGGGTCCTTAGATTTATATTAAGTTGAGTTTCGGTACGTGAAGAAATTGTAAGCAATGAAGAAGCCAACGAGTTTTTACGTGTTACGTAAGAAATCACACCATTTTAAGTAATTTATTTTGAAGAATTTCTAAAAGCATAAACACGGCTCTCACACGGTCCTTCCCAGCCCTAAGATTAATTTTGTACGTTGATGCAGATGTGCAGCGCAGCGTGGGGCGGTGCAGCGGCGGCGGCTGTGGTGCCGGCGCACAACCTTGGCGTGCTGCTCATGTACCTCGCCGCGGACGCACGTCTGCCGCACGCGTGCGTACTGCCCGTCCCGCACTCCTCCCTGAACTCCTCCCCGCAATCCTGCCCACACTGACACAACCTGGGCGTGCTGCTTATGCACCTCGCCGCAAACACACTTCTACCGCACGCCCGTGTACTGCTCGCCTCGCACCCCGCATTCCTCCCCGCTCCCGCACTTCTTCCAGCGCCAGCACAACCTGGGTGTGCTGTTATGTACCTCGCCGCGGACGCTCGTGTACCGCACGCATGCGTACTACTCGCCTCGCACCCCGCACTACACCCTGCTCCACCATTCCTTCCAGCACCAGCACAACCTAGGCGTGCTGCTCTTGTACCTTCCCTCGGACGCACCTCTGCTGCGCGAATCTGTACTGCCCGCCCCGCACCCCGCACTCCTCCCTGTGCTCCTCTTCGCATTCCTCTCCGCACTTCCCCTGCATTCCTTCTCGCAATCCTCCACCAGACTGGCACAACCTGGGCGTGCTGCTTATGTACCTCAGAAGCACGTCTGCCGCACGCATGCATACTGCTCTTTTTGCACCCCGCACTCGTCCCCGCACTTCGCACTCCTCCTCATAGTCCTCCCCGCACCGACACAACCTGGGCGTGATGCTTTTGTACTTCGTCGCAGACGCACATCTGCCGAATTCATGCATACATTACGCCCACCCCGCCTTACAAGAAGAAGAAGCAGAGCAGTGATGAAGTATAGGGGCTTCATCACTGTTCTGCATCCTCTTAAACCTGAGTCCTCTGCTCGCGTAGAGACCTGCTTCAAAATAAAGAAAATAACCAAAAGTACAATTTTAATGGGACGAATTAAGAATTTTCCTACCTTTTCTTTTACATAATAGGTCTTACCTATGAAAATGCCGTTTCTCAATTCTGGTTATTTCAAATCAAAATAATTTTTGTTTGGCTAAAAATCCTAATTTCAAATTAATTTTATTTTAAAGCCCTTGAATTCTGTTTTCAAAAGTCATATGTTTATTAATTAGCGTTATGTTAGCGGATGGTCGGCTCGAACCGCGACCTCACAGAATAAAAGCGTGAAGTAGAAGTTTACTTCTGCGTTTCGCCTAGTAAGTGCAGGTGGCCGGAGGCCCAATCCCCGCCCCTCCTTAACATGGTAGCGGAGTTAAAGAAAACCAGCATCCCTGGTGATGGAGAATCCCTCGCTGAGCATCCACGCCCAAGCTACACTACTTCATTCAAATCTTAACTCCATCCGCTATTCCAAAACAGGTCCGTACCTTCAAGATGCCTCGGTAGCCTTGAAGGTACGGACCTGTCCATCCTGTAGCTGCGCCTAGATAGCGACGACTATCCCCGCTTCTACTGGTGCCTCTATAGGTCCACGACTACGTCCAAAGACTCGTCTACGGCTGCAGACTCGGTGCTACAACAGATCTCATTCGCATGGATGGTGATGATTTTAACATCCACAATCTCGATTTGCTAGGTTTTCGTTTAACGGATCATGCGGGTAGATCTGTTTATGACTGTAACTTTGCCTTGACATATAGTCTGACATAACTGTTTACTTCGCCTACGTGGATCCCAGATATGAAGGAACATTTAATTTCTCTGTTGGACCTTCTGCTGACCTCTCATCCCGACGGATATCAGGTCTCCGTTGACGACCCTCTTGGCTCTTCTGCGGTTGATCCTATAAAATTGCATCACGCTATAAGCTTTTACGGTTGACGCATCAACATATGCACTCCTAAAATAGTATGATTCTGCCTCCAGATCCTTCAATAGTGTCATTGGCAAAGAAAATTCGAGAAGACGCGAATTCTGGTCTCTCACCAAGGTTGTCCAAAGGAACGTCTGACAGTCATCTCTCCAATCCCTGTACAGAGAGGATGACAATGGTCTCTACATCCAACTCGACTCTCGATTTTTTTTTATAGAAGAGGGGGCAAACGAGCATGCGGCTCACCTGATGTTAAGTGACTACCGCCGCCCATGATCAACCGCAACACCAGGGGAATTGCAGGTGCGTTGCCGGCCCTTTAGAAAGGAGTAAGCTCTTTTCTTGAAGGTCCCCAGGTCGTATCGGTCCGGAAAAATCGCTGGTGGTAAACTATTCCGCAGAGAGGTTGTACGCGGAAGAAAACTCCTCTTGAAACGTACAGTGGTGGACCGCCAAGCATCCAGATGGTGTGGATGGTATCGGGACGTTTGCCGCGTAGTGCGTTCACGAAATTTGGCGGCTGGGATTAATCCGAACAATTCCTCAGAGCACTCTCCATGGTATATGCGAAAGAAAATGCAAAGAGATGCAACATCTCTTCGCAGTGCCAGTGAATCGAGCCGATCGGAAAGCACTCGGTCGTCGACGATTCGAGCCGCTCTGCGCTGGATACGGTCAAGTGGAAGGAGCTGGTACTGGGGAGCCTCAGCCCAGAGATGGGAACAGTATTCCATGTGCGGCCGAACCTGCGCCTTATAAAGTTGCAGGCGGTGTGCCGGCATGAAATACTGTCCCGCTCTGCTGAGCACGCCAAGCTTTTTAAAGGCCAATTTGGCCTTCTCTTCCAAGTGACCACGAAACTGCACGTCACTCGATATGTCGACGCCGAGGATTCCGATACTGGCCGAGGCAACAAGGGGAGTGCCTTGAAACTGAGGAGATACGACAAACGGGTTCTTTTTAGCGGTTAACGCGCAAACTTGTGTCTTCTGGGGGTTAAACTGGACTAGATTTAGTCGCCCCCAATCCGAGACTCTGCAAAGACTCGACTTCAGTACAAGTTTGTCCTGGCACTCGGAGACGTTTTCCCGAGAAATATTGGCTCGGCCGGTGTAAAGAGCATCACCAGTGCTGTCATCTGCGTAGCAATGAATGTTACGGGTTTGCAACATATCATTGATATGCAGAAGAAACAGCGTTGGCGATAGCACGCAGCCTTGTGGAACACCAGCGTTAATAGGCTTGCAATCGGAGCTTGCACCGTCTACAACGACCTTGATGCCCCGATCTGCAAGAAAGCTGGTGATCCAATCGCACAATTTCTCGAGAAGCCCATAGGAAGAGAGCTTCGAAAGAAGCGCTTTGTGCCAAACCCGATCGAAGGCCTTCGCAATGTCCAAACTAACGGCCAATGCCTCCCCCTTGGACTCTAATGCCTCCGCCCATCTGTGAGTTAGGTAGACCAGAAGATCACCAGCTGACCGACCACGGCGAAAACCGTATTGGCGGTCACTAATCAGCTGGTGATCAACAAGGTACCTCATGAGCTGGTAGTTTACAATGGACTCCATTGTTTTGGAGAACAAGGAGGTGATGGCGATAGGCCGGTAGTTGGACGGGTTTGAGAAATCGCCTTTTTTAGGGATCGGGTGGTCGAAGCCGTCGGTGGTGGTTGGGACTACGCCTAGGGAGTAGGAGTACCGGAAAAGACGCGTTAAAACCGGTGCCAACTCTGGAGCACACGTCCTCAGCACAATTGGAGGGATTCCGTCAGGCCCACTCGACATGTTGATGTGCAGGGAGAGGAGTGCTTTGCGAACCGAGCGCTGTGTGAACTGCACTTCCGGCATAGAGCACTCACACCGCGGGATGGTCGGCGGCGTACTCCCCCCCGTCATCGAGGGTCGAGTTGGACGCAAAGAAAGAGCCTAGAAGATCGGCTTTCTCCTTTGCGGTATGGGCCAGTGAGTCGTCCTCCCTGTGCAGAGATGGAAGAGATGGCTGACAGAAATTCCCCTGGACATTCATGGCGAGAGACCAGAATGCACGGGTTCCAGAAGGAAGGCGAACTAGTTTCTCGCCAATTCTGCCTATGTACTCTAACTTTGCCTTGCAATGACTCTTTTGAAGGACCTAGAGGCGGAATTTTTCATAGCGCTGGTGTTTACATCCCGGGACGCTGATGCCTCAGCCCAGGCTTGGTAGCACTCCTGCTTATAGCATGATGCTATTTTACAGGAGCAACCAAACCATGGCTGAGATTTGCCTCCAATGGGCACCACAGAGGAAGGAATAAAAAGTTCCATGCCCTGACGTACCACATCAGCGACAGAATCCGCAACAACGTTGGGATCGTCCGGCGAGAAGCAAACCCGCCCCCAAGGGTAGGATGCAAAGAAAGACCGCATCCCATCCCAATGGGCTGACCTATAGTGCCAAACACGGCGGCAGCCTGCAGAATGCAACTGCGATTTCAGCGTGAGTGGCACCACACTCTGGACAAGTCAATGGTCCGAGGAGCCTAAAGGAGCGTCGACGGAAATCTGATATCCGTCCGGGTGAGAGGTCAGCAGAAGGTCCAACAGGGAAGGTGCATGATCCTCCACATCTGGAATCCGTGTACGCGAAGTAACCAGTTGAGTCAGACCATATGCCAAAGCAAAATCATGAACAGATCTCCCCGCATGATCGGTTAAACGTGAACCAAGCCATTCGGCTGTGATGGGCGTTAAAGTCGCCGAGGATCACGATCTCTGCGGAGGGGATCTGCTGTAGCAACGAATCTGTAGCCACTTGAACGTGGTCGAAGAGTCGGCCTGTTTCGGCATTACCGCTATGGGATCTATAGAGGCACCCGTAGACGCGCGGATGGTCGTCGCTGTCTACGCGTAGCCGAAGGATGGACAGGTCCGAACCTTCAAGTATGCCGAGGCGTCGATGACAGGTGTCCTCTATGACGTAAATGCAAACTCAAGACCGAGGCACAAAGGAGTGTTCCAGTTTGTACCCCGGGTAGGAGAGATACGAGACATCAGCCGGAGAGGACACCTGCGTCTCGGTCAGAAAGAGCAGAGCCGGCCTCGCCGTCTCGAGATGGTAGTGGACGGCGTTTAGGTTAGAGTGAAGTCCCCTGATATTGCAGAAATTCACGGACAGCGTGGCAGGGGTAGCCTTGGTCTTGTTGCTCCGTTTACCCCGAGCAGTTGTAGTCTTGAGCGGAATTTTGCCCCCCCCCCCCCCAGAAAACGCGTGGCAACCTGAGCACCCACGCTCAGAAGTGGAGAAACATGGTCGTGGTTGCTCAGCGAGGGATTCTCCAGGGGTGCTGGTACCATCCTGGGGTAGTCTATCATTATTTACTTTCACTACCATGTTGGTGGGGGGGGGATTTGGGCCTCCGGCCACCTGCACTCACCTGACAAAACGCGAAAGCAGAGCTTCCACTTCACGCCGGTATTCTGTGAAGTCGTGGTACCACCCCGGTTTGAGCCGGCCCATACGTGCAACAGCAAAGCTGCCGCGTGGCTCTACCACTGTTGAATCGATGAACGAGGGCCAACCATCCCGCGGTGTGAGTGCTCCATGTAGGATGTGCAGTTTACGCAGCACTCGGAGCGCAAAGCACTCCTCTCTGGACGTCAACAAGTCGAGTAGGCCTGATGGAGTCCCACCTATTGTGATGTATTTTGAACCGCATTTTTATCTGCAACGAAAATTGGATTCTTGGTTTGGTGGTCTAACGTCGGTGTGATTCATCACAGCCTCTTACCAAATGGGATGAGTATTACTGCTGATGTGTATGTATATGAACACAATAGTTGAGAAGCTCGCACGTCTCCAACTAGCTTTGGTCAAGCGCTCGTCCCCGCTGCTCCTACACGACAACACGCGACCTCATACTGCACAACAGACGGTCTCGAAATTATTAGAGCTGGGTTTGGAAGCTCTCCGTCATCTGTCGTACTCACCAGACTTTGCGTATGACTATTTTTTCCAATATTTGGACAACATTTTGGTGGGGAAACAATTCAACACCCGAGAGGCAGTACAAAATGCCTTTGAAGAATGTTGCCTCCCGTCCACCTGATTTCCTCAAGAAGAAAATCAACAACTACTACTAATACTATACTAATCTGACACTGTGATGGAAAAGATGCATCGATTGCATTTGTGATTACTTCGATTAATAAAAATAAAAAATATAGAAAGAAAATTCAGTTACCTTATCTCTTAAAAAACGGCAAATTTATAGGTAAAGACCTAATACATAATTTGTATTATAAAATCAATAGCTTTTTGGGTCCAATCTTCGTACTGCTGTTTTGCGTATTTCTTGTTCACGGTACGTGAACATGGCCTTTCCTCCGTTACCCCTTATTTTACTCTCATGCCGGATGCCATGTCGCGACACAGTGTCACTAATACCACCTGTCTTATATGCAAAGTTTCATTCCTGTTGTGTTCCATCATATAAAATAACAGCACTTGAAACAAACCGTAGAACATTTGCTATTCATTCTTTATCGATCTTAGACTCTTACATTTTTATTGTTCTGTAGAACAGTGCTGTGGTGGTGCCTGGGGCTCTCGGTGAGCCACTGCTTCGTGTTCATGCTGATGCCTGAATCACCTGCCTTCCTCGCCGCCAGCGGAAAACTTGAGGTAAGAAACTTAAATTAGTTTTTTCCGACTTATGCTTTATATAATATAATTTATATTTCATCGCTTTATTTTTCAGATATAATATTAACAACGTAGTTTCCTTATTCTACAAGGCTAAGTCGCACCTTTAAAGATTTTTACTCTACCCACATCAAAACAATTGCCACTTCCCACAAACGTCTCTCGCCGTCCGAGCGTACTGCCTCATTCCTTTTTCGTGCGAGGCAGAGTGCACACCTGGGAGTGTGAGAGTGCACCCAGGGAAGATTACAATATTTATATGACTGTTGGCTTAAATTAAGAAAAAATAAAATTATTTTGAGATGGATTCGGGATGGATTTACAACACCATTTGCATACATAAACACTCACGCCTGTCACCCAGAGGGGTAGGCAGAGACTACAGACTTCCATTTAGCACGATCCTGACACACCTCTCTTGCCTCCTTCATATCCATACACCTACGCATACATGCTCGTCGGTTAAGGGTACTCCTAATTTGGCCCGTTTTCAATAAATCGCCAATTTGGTCGATAAATTTTCGCCTAGGACGTCCCTTTCCGACTCTGCCATTCACTTCTGCACCATAAATTTTCTTTGTCACTCTTTCCTCATTCATTCTTTCCACATGACCAAACCACCGAAGCATTCCTTTCTTAATCCTGGTCACCACATCATCTTGCAAACCACACTCTTCTCTTATTACACAATTTCTTACCCTGTCATTCAGATTCAGCCCTAACATACTCCTTAACGACCGCATTTCTACTGCGTTTATTCTACTCTCGTGCTTCGTCTGCCACACCCAACTTTCACTACCATACGTTAAAGTAGGGACCAACACAGCATTGTGAATTGCCATACGTGCCTTTTTCGACACATTTTAACTCTTCACAATAGATTGCAAGGCCCCATTTACTCTATTTCCCGCATTCACTCGTCGTTCTATATCCTTATCATATCTCCCATCCCTGCTAAATACGCAGCCCAAATATACAAACTCATCTACTTGCTCGATCAACTCCCCTTCATTTCAACGTTTTACTTTCTTCTCTTTCAAAAACCATAACCTTCGTCTTACTTGCGTTCACTTTCATACCCCTTTCTTTTAATGATCCGTTCATTAATGTAACCATCATTTGCAACTCGGCCGCCGACGACGCAAGAATAACTTGATCATCGGCGTACAAAAGGCATTTGACGGTTAACTCACCCATTCTTAATCCGCATTCTTCAACTTTCAAATTTTGCAAACAACTGTCCATAAATAGGTTGAACAGCCACGGGGAAGCCACACAGCCCTGTCTGACACCTTTATGGATGTCAAACCAGTCCGAGTAGACCCCGTTGATCCTAACACAAGCACTAGAGTCCCTATAAAGAGACTCCAATGCCTATATCAAGCCAGCGCTCAACCCAAATGAGTTCAGTGTTTGCCATAGCACATCCCTATCCACTCTGTCATAGGCCTTTTCCAAGTCCATGAACGCACAAAAGAACTTTTGGTTTTTGGCCAGAAACTTCTCCGCGATCATGCGCATGGAAAGGACTTGATCTGTACATCCCATTCCCTTTCTAAATCCCGCTTGCACATCCCAAATTTTTCCATCAGTTTCTTTCATGACCCTTTCAATCAGTACCTTAGCATACAGTTTACCCACAATGCTAAGAAGGCTGATGCCATGGTAGTTTTTACAATCCTGCTGCGACCCTCTTCCTTTATATACTGGGACTATCACGGCTTTGCTCCAGTCTACCGGTACCCCGCTTCAGTTCCCAGCATAAATTAAACAAGGTGTGCAGCAGGCCTGCCACCACTTCCTCTCCAGCCCTTAGCATTTCGAGTGAAACTTTATCATATCCGGCAGCCTTACCTGCTTTCATACTTTTCATTGCTTTCATTATTTCATCTATACTTATCTCGCTACCTCTTTCCTCTTCTTTCAACACCATTTAATAGACAAATTACTCAATGTAGTTTACGTCATTCAACTTAGTCATCAAAAGATAAAAAATACATTTCTGTAGCTATTAGTAATTTATTATAGGATAAATATCAAAGTGTCATCCATCAAAGTACCAGTTCATATCCTCAGTTTTCTTAGTGCCTAAACCTAACGGACACAAAAGAATTATTCTGAATTTAAAGTCCCTTAATAAGTTCATTGCAAAATCTCACTTTAAAATGGAGGATTACAGAACGACCTCAAAGTTAATATTTACCTCGTAATGGTTACATGGCTACCATTGACCTACGGGAGGCTTACTTACTGGTGTAAGTCGAGTCATCGCAAATTTTTGAGATTTGAATTTGAAGACGAACATTTAGTTAAAACCCTATATGAATTTAATGCCGTACCGTATGGCCTGTTCGCTGCTCCTAGAACATTTAGTAAGATAATGAAAGAGGTAATAACCAACTTAAGAAGCAGGGAATATAAGTCTATCATATACCTTGACAACATTCTTTCGGGATTCAGGAAGGAGAGAAATATTAAAGATGAGCCAGATTAAGAGATTACCTTTAACCAACGATCGTGTATGCATAGGTATATATAGGTGGGATGTACATATGTCAGGATGGTGCCAAATGGAAGTCCGTAGTATTTGCCTACCCCTTTGGGGGATAGGCGTGATCACTTACGATTATAATATTGCAAGGTCCAAGTGGCGGTTAGTTGTAATACAACAATAGTGCATTACAATAACGCCGGGCAGCGGAGCGGTCGCTGCGCTGGCTACGCGGCAGTCCGGGTGCGGACGGGGCGGGGAGCAGCGCGGTGAGCGGTGCGGGCGCGACGTCTCTTAAAAGCGAGCTGGCCGCGCTGCCCTCGCCAGACCTCGTCGACAGGTCTGCCTTCGCGCTTGCCAAGGACATGCGTAAGTAATTCTCTGTCGTTACTGCTATACGCACCGAACTGTTGTTACGTCTGGCCGCATGGCCGGGTGGCATACTCTCGCCTATTTCTGCCACCTAGCGGCAGCACCCACTGTAGTGATCTGGTTTGAACAAGGGATGGTTTAACTGCGGCCTGTATTGTTTAAAGTTAGATGCAGCTGAACAAATATACTATAGCCCATGGACGTACGCTGAAACTTCAACCTATTATAGCCACTTACTATCAGGTGACCTGTTAATACATTTGTTGCGGGGGCAAGGACGGGTATGTCGGACTTGCACCGACTAAAATCCCATGGCGTTCCAACTTCGTCGCATATAAGCAGGGCCACGGGAATGCTTTTACACACATCCTCGGCCCTACTAGCGCTGGTCGCCCCTTCTCGGGAGAGGACTACTCCTCCCCCATCTCCTTCTCAAGTAAGGCGTTCCAGAACACATGGCGCGCCCTCTTCCGTGGCTTCCATCTTCACATGTGCTACAGACGCCCCCGTGTCCGATGCGGGAAGGCCATGGGGCCAGGAAAAACGGCCGCTCAGAAGCACTAGCCTTCCTGACCCCAGCGGCGGATCTGGTCAATGGCTCCGCCGCCAACCAAGATTCGGCTACGGAGGTAGGGAGTGCAGCGCCTCGCAATACCGACACTCCTCTTCCCCGCAGCCCCACCACCACCGCATCAGTTAATGGCGCCACCCCGTAAGAGTCGCGGAGGATAGGCGAGTGGCGCATCGCCATACCAACACTCTCTTCCTCCGAGACTCCACCTCGACTGCAGTGGTTGGGGGAGAGTGCACCCCTCTCGCCGCAGCCTGCCAACACACATCCGAAGTGGGTTCGCCAAGCCCACTTGGAGTGGCCTCCTCAGACCGGCCCTACACCCCAAGCCAACCATGTGGGTTCCTCTTAGTTCACAGCGGGTGACCAAGCCACAGCTACTAAGCGCCATATACAAAAATAAACAAGTAAACCATAATTTAAAGGTCATATGTAGCAAGGGAAAATAGGTAGTAATTTTTCACTAAACGACAAAAAATTAAGACGAGATAAAGAGATTAATCATTGACTGTTTATTTAATTTCGCTCCCACTTCCCCGCGCGTCGTATGCTATGTACCGACATGTTTGTAATCACTAATACTGTAAGTAGATAGGTTGTTAGATACTTATTTCAATAGGTTTATAGGTCATATTTATGCCTGTTTCTTAACGCCAACCCAGTCGCTTCTTATTTTTATTACGGTTATTTCCCATTTTAATATTACGTCGTCCTGTTGCGTAATGTGTATTCTGATCGTAAGCGACACAACTTCTCCCTTCAAAAGCCTAAGCGATACTAACGAGGCGACAGGAATCAAGCTTCAAGACGCCGATAGTTCAGGTAATTTCTTTTTCCAGTGAAAATAATGGTATTTAAAAAAAAAAGTAAATAACGTAAGCACTGCTTTATAGTTAGTTCAGTTAGTATGCAAAGTTTCATGATCTTATTTCAAGTATTTTATGAGTAACAGCGGTTTATTGTTCAGTTTGGAGGTAACTTTGGATTTTTTTCTATCGAGGAAATTTTAGGGAATCGTGTTTTCGTCTAACATAGTCCTTAATATTAATCCTCAACTTTACCATATATTTATTTCAAAATTAATGCTACAATACTTTCGGCATAACGGAGGATCTTGCTAAGCCCTTTGAGGTTATATTTCCCCTTAAGTAGTAGCTTATACAACATGTAACATAATTAACGCACTTTGAGAAAGTAGTTTGTTCAGAATCGTTTAGTGAATCGATTCCTATCATTTTTAATATAGGTAATTTTTTATCCCAAAAATAAAACTATACACACTAAATCTATACGGTCAAAACAAACTGAAATGGACCGTAACATAAGGCAATAAGACTTTTAAGAGTGCAGTTTTATTTGTAATATTACTAATTCTGTCATTCAATAAAAATAAAGAAAAATGAACTTTATTTCAAGCATGTTAAAGTCCTTGCGTTCGTGGATTTGTACTGTGACGACAACATTCTTACGGAATTAGTATAACTAATTTGATAAACAATCAGTGCATAAAAATGTTTAACTAAAAATTCAGTGTGTGTATTATGATTATAACATAATATACTAATTGGGGTGTCTGAGGGTGTGCGTTAATTACGTTGCATATAGTATAGTAGTGTAGTAAATTATATATAAAAAAATATGAGTATGTCTGAGGTAAGGTTAAATATAAACAAATATTTGCCAAGTGCGAATCGGACTTCCGAGCTTCCGTACCATCTTACAAGATTTAATATACATATTACTATCGATCAAAAAAAAGCCAAAAATACACGTTTCTTTTTCTAGTAGGAAACCCTTTAATTTCAAATTTATTTTTACTATTTTTTGTTATAGCGGCAACAGAAATACATGTTCTGTGAAAATTACAACCATCTACCTGTTAAGGGTCATGAGATATAACCCGCTGACAGACAGACACACGGACACCGGAGGCTTCGTATTAGGGCCCTGCTGGTTACCCTTCGGGTACGGAATCTCTGTGTGGTTCTTTCTTCAAAGGACCATATTAGCCACCTGCCTAACCGACCTCTCCAAGTTTGCTTCGGCAGATCGGGTGCTTCTTCTCAGTTTCATGTTTTTGTTGTGTTTAAAGTGTTTTTTAAAAAAACAACTTACAAAACAAATTTATCATTGACTACTCTTCTTAGATTCTTATGTACTTACATAAATTACATTAGGTATATTAGGATATGAGATTCCTATACGTAAGCACGATTACCGAAAATCTAAAAATTACCTATTCTATTTAAATTAATCGATAATTATAAATCTAAAAATTACCTATTCTAATTAAATTAATAGATAATTTTAAGATTTTCAATAATCGTGCTTATCAATGAGATGTTTTCGTTAATTAGCAAATTAACGTAGTTAAGTACCTAATGTACTACCTGTATCGAAAGTTCATTATTATGTACCTACCTGTTTAAAATTTTAACTAAATGTGCTTCGACAAACTTATGGGTACATTTTAGCAGCTATATTCATCCCGGTTTCAGCAGTGGACACAAACCAAAGGAAGCAATTTTTCTAAATAAAGATGTAAATATGTAGGTATTACAATCATAAATAGATAGCAGCGGCTAACCTAGTGAGCAGCCCAGTGGGGCTGCTCACTACCTAGTAGTTAGTTATCGGGGAAACAATTTGTAGCAAAAGGCAAGATCATTAACAACAAAAAGGAGCGCGCGAAATTTTATAAACAGACCTTTGGGAGTCTGGATGTCATGAAAAATCTATTGAATGTATCTGTTCAAAATAAAATTATTTGCATTTTTGAACAACTAATCTATCCCTGTATGGTAACTGTTTTGCAATTTTCGTTCTTCTTATGGTATTTATTTCCGCACAAAGATGTGTTAAAACTAGTGTTGGAATTTGGAATTTTCGACGGTTATAACTTTTAAACATATTCTTTTTTAACTTTTTTGTTTCCATACCGGGCTAGATAATGATGAGACAAATTGAAATCATTTTTTATTTTGAACATACACCATCAAACAGTGGAGTAATCGCCAGACTACGTTTGTATGGAAGAATGAGCGACTAGTGTACCCTTAAACGAAAACAGGAAAAATTCTGTAGTCTTGAAACGTCACACTCAAACGAATGTTATGAACTAATGACCTTAGCTAAACTCGCCACGAAGGCATTGTTTGAACGCTACTGCCCACTTAACCGTTTACTGTCAACTGCCCTGTAACAAAAGTCGCTACTGTACTTGCCGAAGTGTAAGTCGGTCTTAAGAGAAATCCCAAAAAGATCTCATGATTTACGATAAATGGTTTAACTACCTTCCTTACGCGAGACTTACAATATCCTGACGATGAAGAATAGCGTTAAAGGTGCGGGACAAGCATGGCGATTGAGGCAGTGATCTCTATTCATATCGGAGGAGACACATGTGCAGCATCGGAATTTTAGAGGCTGATAACAAAGACTTCTATGTATACTACTAGATAGGCTCTAAGGCCTTAATATATTGCGCATTAAGTTATGGTCAATTCTCCGTAACTTCTTCAGTCGACTGCGAGCGTGCGAGACGACTTGTTTTTTGTTTCGTAAATCGCGAACATTGTTTTCGACAATCTAACACCGATTTTGTTTAATGTGACTAAGAAAGCGCTTTCATTACTTACGTGCGCAATTTGTCAACGTGATTTGAAGTTTATTTCAGATAACTTTGAAACTTTAATTCGAATTTGCCGAAAACATTGATTTATATATTACACTAGATCAGTAATAACCGCGCCAAAGCGTTTCCACTGCACATATGGCCACAGCCATATGCCTAACTGACGACAGTTCAGTGTTCAATGTGACGCCGACAGAGTTGAGCCGCGACAAAAAATGGGTAAATGTGTAGTGAAAGAATGCTATTCAAGGTCACAAAACATAATAAATCAAGCGGCATCACTTTCAACACATAATTTTTAGTTCTTGTTTTCATATAAACGTAAAAAACCTCAAATAATTAAATAAAATTATCGAATATTGCCATTTAGGTTCAATGTTGCAACTTTTCCGCATTTGTGATTTCCTACATTAATGGGAGACTATATAATTAATGAGTAGGTTAATTTGTTACCTCTGATTTTAAATATTTTGGAAATTATAATAAAAACTACGTTTTAACTTTTATACTAAATAATTAATTATTCTTATTTTAGTTTATTCATGAATTATCTGTTAAATATATTACCTATTTTATATTAATAATTTTATATTAATTATAATTTTATATTAATTATATTTTATTACCTATTTTATATTGTTTGATTTATTGGTACTATAAAATACTTATAAAAATATGTTTTATTTCATCATTATGTTTACTTCTATTCACCTGATAAGCTTTGTATCCTTTTTTCCCAGGGTATGCAATAAAGATTTCAAAATAAAATATACTTTTTTAATATAAAAACAATTAACTGCAGCTTAAAAAAAACTCATTTTATTGCGTATTTTAGGTAAAATTTCATATAGTAAGCCACACCAACCCGCCATTGTATATTTGTGTGTCTATCTTTATCTAATCTTAGCGACGATATTGTTTTCGTAACTTGTGTAAGTGAGATAGATATATGTTTATTTAAAATTGTTATTGTTTCAAAGCTACGTCGTCGCGTTTGGATAGTGGTTATACTTTTTTCGACGCGCGGTAATGTGGTTTGCTCCTCTAGTGATGTATAACTCAATGGCCGAAAAGCAGTAACTAATGCCTAAATAGAAATACAACTGCGTGTTATATTTACCGTGTCAGCTGTCAGTGGTGACATAGTTTTTGTCCTGGATTGCCGGTGTAGTAGTACAATAACAATGGTAATAGATAGACGTCCTTTGGCTGATAATGAAGAAGAATTATTTAGTAGGTGAATGTGGAAGGGTGTGATATCCCAATAAGGTAACATACAATGTGATGTGCAGTAAGTGACAAGCGGCGGCGACGCGCGTTCTTCATTGGCGGCATGGCGGTGGTGGGGCAGGAGGCGTGTGGCGTGCTCGCGCTGCTGCAGTACGCCGAGCGCGTGTTCGTGCTCGCGGAGAGGGGAGTGGAGGTGGAAGCAGCAGTGGGTGCGGGAGATGTGGGGGGTGCGGCCTTGATGTCGCCCGCGCGGCACGCGGTTATCCTGGGCGTCGTGCAGCTCGCAGCCTCATTTATTGCGCTTTACTTCGTCGAACGGGTCGGCCGCAGGGTAATTGATTGTTTATTTTCTTTTTTATGGAACAAGGGTGAGAAACGAGCGCATATTCAATGTGATGGTAAGTGGATGCTGTGGCCCATAGGCTAGTTTTATCGTCATACCGCACCGCTAGATGCGCCGCGGTGCATCTAGCGCCGCTGGACAGCGTGCTCTTGAACAGCAGTGCACTATAAAACGAGATTAGTACCACGTGTTCCGCTGCTGTGAGACAGTCGTGTACAAAATGAATGTTAATGCGGTTAGAGTACTGGCTGTTTACATTTTATAGAAAAGAAGCCAACAGCAGTTGATCCTTATAACGCTACAAGGTTACTGAGAGGCGAACACGTAACATCTTTCACCGATTTGCGAGAAAATAATTATAAATTTTATAAATATTTTCGCCTATCAACAAGCAGTTTCGACGCCGACTCCTGACTCTGCAAGTTAGAGTTTTCTTTACGACGATCCAGCTTACTTTGCATCCCCATAACTCACGTGGAAAAATTGGCGATCACTCTAAGGTAAGTGAAATAAAAGAGTATTGAATAACATTAAAAAATTTTAATCAGTCTTATTTTAATCACACTCTAATTTTGTCTCATAAACATCTTCTAGATCGAACTTCCTCAATTACTCATCCCGTATCGATGTAATTCATTTTGTACACCACAGTACGTAACAGCGCGTCTCAACGGCGTCACATTAAAACCACAGAGTACTTTTTTAAATTAAAACGCATACTGGATGTAGAAGCGCCCGAGCGGCGGTGAACAACGCGCGTTTACCGAACGGCGCTACTCAAGCGCGCGACTTTGAAAGGCAACTACAACCCCGATACATATCCGAACGCGCGCGCACCAACAACGCTGGCGAAACGCGTAACGATAAAACTAGCCATAAACATCCACATCTATTAAGAATCAAAATGCAGATGCGTTGTCATCCCTGTCGGGTAAGATAAAATTCCTCATTTCCAGTTTTTTTACAGCAAATGAGGAATTTTATCTTAACGCTAATTCTCTACACTTACCATAAGAAACACAGCAGTATTTACCTGCTATGTTACGCTGGTATTCGTCTAAGAGAAATAATCAGAAGCTAACTGTAGTTGAGGTAAACTTTGATATCGATACTTTGAAATGAACACGTCAGTTTTCACGTACGGCGTGTGTGTGCAGCCGTTGATCGTGTGGTCGGCGCTGTGCACAGGCCTGTGCCTGGCGGCGGGCGCGGCGCTGGTGGCGCGGCCGCGGCTGCGCGTGGGCGGCGTGCGTGCAGCTGGCCTGGCGCTGGCTGCTGCCGTGGCCGCTGACTCAGCCGGCCTGCAGCCCGCGCCCTACGCGTTGCTGGCTGACATGTTCCATTACGAGGTTCGTGCACAAACACAAACATCACTGCTGCTGCTGCGGGCTGTGGGCCGCCAACTCGGATGGCCTATCGCCCGCTCCCTATTAATGCAATGCGAAGTATCAGGAGTAGTATAAAGCGCAGCGACACTGTGACTGCGTTACCAAAAATCACGTACACAAATAGTTTGGTGAATAATATCAGAAATGACGCAAATAGTAACCTGAATACAAACATATACATTGTAATGATTGGTTCATAAAATCCTCTTTCAACACTGGACGACGTCTTTTACGACGACACTCCTGGTAAGACTCAGTGCGGACAAGACACCTTTAGCCTCTGATTAGTCTTGTGAGTCTGCTTGACTGGCAGTGAGAGAACCACATGACCTAACCCTGACTTCCTGCCTCAGTCCGTCTGTTACCTTAGGTCTTATGGTGCAGACATCTCATAACCATGTAATTTATGTATAGTTATACATTTATATGGTAGGGCCTGGGTGTTGGGGACTGTCTGACGGCTATAGCGAACCTAGTTAGGATTTGCAGAGTCCAGTACTCCTTCCTACCATATTCATCTGCAGCCAGCTAGTTGAGCTATTAAATTTTTTGTTTAATTATCAATCAAATTAAAAAAAAAATAAGTTAAAAAATTAATGAAGGCTAGTTAGGTCAATATTTAAACATAAAGCTACCTGACTCTACATAGGGTTTATGTATTTAAAATATAAATGAATTTATAATAAACAAATATTGTGTAAATACAATGTACCATTTACTCTATCTCATTCTATCGCAAGCTGAATTCTACAGATGTACATATATGTTTGTCTCTTTTTCATTTCAATGGGTTTAAATCACAAAGATTCTATAAATGTTTTCCGTTCAAAAAGTTCCGCAGCTGCGCGGTGCTACTGGTGACGGCGGCGGCGGGCGCGGGCAACGCGCTGGAGGTGTGCGTGTTCCCGCTGGTGGCGCGCAGCGGCGGGCTGCAGGCCGCAGTCGCGCTCGCCGCCGCCGTCACGCTCGCGTACGCCGCCTTCGCCTTCGCCGCGCTGCCCGAGACGCGCCGCCGCACGCCGCAGCAGATATACGACGCGCTCGAGCGCGACACGCTCGTGTGCACACTTATCGCGCTCCTCAAACGATTCACCAAGCGAACCGCGAAGAATTCTTCGTGCCCCGAGAAAGGAACACCTGAAACTAAAATAACATCCAAAAACCCTACAATTATCAAGCGAAACATAAGCTTCAGTCTTAGCACGACGAAACAAAGTCGAGATTCGAATGCAGTGAACATTGAGTCTGCTATCAACAGTGATGTGACTTTACATACTATTACCAATAAAGAGACGGAAAATACCAATCTGTGATAAGTGATAACAGTGCCTTAATAGTTTGTACCAGATAAAATTTAAACGTTATTAAGTATTAACTATTAATAGTAACTTTAAAGTAAAAAAATATCAAAAAATAATACAATCACACTTCAAAAACTTTTATACTTATCCCAGCGAGCCGCCCCGGCTTTGCTCGGGCGATTTCTGTATTCCAACAACAGCGCCATCTACCGGGTCCAACTATGTTTTTAAGACATCTAGTGACCCATTCAAATACACGCAAAAATTCATCATAATCTGATAAGCCATTTTCGAGTTTTTAGAGACTAATGGACAGCAATTGATTTTTTTATATAGAGATAATGTAAACAGTATATACACGGTAACAAAATTAATATTCTTAATTATATAATGTTTTCAATTAAAACAGTTTTTTTTATTTTGCATTTGATCAAATTGGTCGCGTGTAAAATTCCAACAAATCAATTGGTAAAAATGGTAAACACGGAAGTAATCGCGCAAGGATCCGTCCATAACGTGTACACGTTGACAATTCTACTTGTATCTAATTCCGAAATTATTCAAATTAGCGACCCGGCCCGGCTTCGCCTGGTTAGAATTGATTAAAATGTAGTTATTTAGATTTAAGATGATCACATACAATTTATTTTAATAAAGTTTTTTTAGTTTTTTTTTTTCAAAAAAAGTCTTCAAGTTTTTCGTATAAACTGCAGCCTAATTTCCTCCTGGCATTACTCTCCCCGTTTGTATAGTTTTAATACTTACAATGGGTTCAGCCATTTCTAAGATAAGCCCAGACAGACAGACAACCAGACAACGCAATTTAAAATAGTTATTTAAGTCTTAATGGCGTGCAAATAATCTGTAAAGCTTAACAGAAGTTAGCTATTTCAATATAACAGACAGACACTTCAATTTTATATATATCTTAATATATATATATATATATATATATATATAGAGAGAGAGAGAGAGAGAGAGAGATCTCTTTACGGTAAATGTTGATCAGACGCGACTTCACGCGAGCACTTAGTTGTTCCGGCATGTTGATCCGGCGCCTTTTGTTGATCCAATATGCATCTCTGGTAACTAATGTGGCTCCGACCGGATCAACATCTGCACTCACGAGACTGTTTGCTAGCGTTGGCCGAAGTTGATCCGATATACAAATCCACCTTGCGATGGTTACGGAAAATGTTGATCCGATTTAAATGAGCCAATCAGAGCAAACGATAAGATAAACGATCGGATTGGCTGAATGCAGCCGCGACGTTGCCGTTTCATATCTTTGGCGGTACAAGCTACAGATTAAATGCGTGTTATGTAATGCATTCAGGGTGCTGTTTGGTCTACCTCGTTATTGTAATGCACCGGGTATGTTCGCGGATGCGCGTGTGGATTGTTTCTACACCATCATGCGTAAACGATGCACATCCCTGGTGCGCAGGGTGCGGGCCAGTTCCAATGGTATCCTGAGGGCATTTTCTGACAGGTTTGAGATCAGTACCTGAACCATTGTCATATGGTGCACGTGCTGACTAATCGGGCCTGTCTTATATATAGTTTTAAAATTAGGTAAATAGTTTTAAGTAAAGTAGTGTGTGCGCGCGTGTGTGTGTGTGTGTGTGTGTGTGTGTGTGCGTGTGTGTGTGTGTGTGCGCGTGTGTGTGCGCGTGTGTGTGCGGGTGCGTGCGTGTGTGTGTGTGTGAGCGCGTGTGTGTGCGCGTGTATGTGCGGGTGCGTGTGTGTGCGCGTGTATGTGCGGGTGCGTGTGTGTGCGTGTGTGTGTGTGTGTGTGTGTGTGTGTGTGTGTGTGTGTGTGTGTGTGCGCGCGTGTGTGTGTACGTGTGTGCGTGTGTATGTGCGGCAGTGTGCGTGTGTGAGTGTGTGTATGCGTATGTGCGTGTGCGCTTGTGTGCATGTTTGCGCGCGCGCTTGCTTGTTTTGTTTTGTTAGTTATGATAAAACCGTCACAAAACAAAAGTTCTTTTCACTTTGTCTCTAGTACCAATAGGTATCCAAGATGATATTCGCAAAAATGAATAACCTCGTAGTTCTTTAGGGGATTTGAATAACATCTTTAGGGGCAGTATCGATATCCACTTACCAGCCACACTGTTTTTCCCTGTAACCAACTGTCCTTTATATGAGCCTCACTTGCCTTCACGCGGTACCCACTTTACTGCACTCCAGTGCACCCACCACCACCTCTGCCACCTACGCCTCCACATCTACCACCGCACCCCTCTCTAAGCCTTCGTTCTCCACCTCCGCTACCCCCGCTTCCATCATAAACTCTGCTCCATCCGCCTCAACAATAAACTCCGCTCCCTCCGCCGCCACCATCACGCGCCGTCACTATTCTTTCCGCCTCCAACACAATTCCCCGTTTCCACTATCTCCGACTTCACCACAAATTCCTCTCCTCCGCCTTCACCACATACTACGCTGCATTCACCTCCGCCCCCACGTCTCCATTCTCCGCCGTTTTCTGAGCGCACACACACACACACACACCCACACACACACACACACACACACACACACACACACACACACCAACACACACACAGACACAAACACACGCGCGTGCTTGCACATGCACACACACACACACACACACACACACACACACGCACATACACAAACACAAAACAAGAGTGGAACACGCACACACTCGTACAAAAACAACACACAAAAGCAAACACACACACAACCGCTCACACACACACGAACAACAGTTAACACACGCACGCACACATACACGCGCGTGCGCGCACTCATACTAACACACACACGTACTAAAAAAACACAACAGTGCACACACGCACACATACACTCACCCACATCACACACACCCACACGCACGCGCACACAAAAAATCGCATAAACACACATTCACTCACACACACACACACATACACACATACACACACACACACACACACACACACACACACACACACACACACACACACACACACACACACACACACACACACACACTCGAGTGACAAATTAATTTGTAATAAAGTACTATCCATCATCTTCTAATTGATCTATAACAAATGAATAAAATAACACAAATTCACTGACACGATAACAAAAACTCGAACAAACGTCTTTTCACAATAAAACCTGCCAAAGTTTGATCCACAAAATCAGCAGATAACGCATTTTCTTACCTTATTACCATAACGAAGTAGCCTACTGGGTTCTCTGTCACACACAGAACGCGACGTTGCCGCTTCGTGTTCGAGTACCTATTCGTCAATTATGGCTCCGGATCCACTTAGTCTCATTGATTTATATAACACTAGATCAGTAATAACCGCGCCAAAGCGTTGCCACTGCACATATGGCCACAGCCATATGCCTAGCTAACGTGAGTTCATTGTTCAATGTGACGCCGACAGAGTTGAGCCGCGACAAAAATGGGTAAATGTGTAGTGAAAGAATGCTATTCAAGGTCACAAAAATGTAATAAATCAAGCGGAATTACTTTCAACACATAATTTTTAGTTCTTGTTTTCATATAAACGTAAAAAACCTCAAATAATTAAATAAAATTATCGAATATTGCCATTTAGGTTCAATGTTGCCACTTTTCCGCATTTGTGATTATACTACATTAATGGTAGACACTATAATTAATGGAGTAAGTTAATTTGTTACCTCTGATTTTAAATATTTTGGAAATTATAATAAGAACTACGTTTTAACTTTCATACAAAATAATTAATTATTCTTATTTTAGTTTATTCATGAATTATCTATTAAATATATTTTATTACCTATTTTATATTAATAAATTAATATTATTTATAATTTCATATAAATTTTATATTAAGTAATTATATTTTATTACCTATTTTATATTGTTTGATTTATTAGTACCATAAAAATACGTTTTATTTCATCATTATGTTTACTTACATTCATCTGATAAGCTTTGTATCCTTTTTTCTAAGGGGACGTAATAAAGATTTTAAAATAAAATATACTTTTTTAATATAAAAACAATTAACTGCAGCTTAAAAAAACTCATTTTTATTGCGTATTTTAGGTAAAATTTCATATAGTAAGCCACACCAACCCGCCATTGCATGTTTGTGTGTCTATCTTTATCTAATCTTAGCGACGATATTGTTTTCGCAACTTGTGTAAGTGAGATGGATATATGTTTACTTAAAATTGTTATTAGTTTCAAAGCTACGTCGTCGCGTTTGGATAGTGGTTACACTTTTTTTCGACTCGCGGTAATGTGGTTTGCTCCTCTAGTGTTGTATAACTCAATGCTTAGTCTAAGTAAATGTCGCATATAAATTAAATATACTCTGGATCTAAAAAATCATATTCAGTATGATTTTTTCGACCGTTGATAGATCAACAAATGTTGGTCAAATCGCTGACGAGTATATTGAAATCCTGTTAGTGCAGATCCACCGACGTCACACGCGCATCAAGAATGGATCAAAGTATATCAGTTTGTGCGACGCGGAGCTGAGCAAACACGTCAAATAGGTGGATCAACAATTGTTCTAACTTCTCACTGGATCAACATTTACCGTGAAAGGATTATATATATATATATATATATATATATATATATATATATATATATATAAATTACATACGCGTCACGTTGTTTGTACGCACGCACGCTCCTGAGCCACCTGCATCCATCGACTTCCTGCATGTCTTACCAGGTCGTCACTTCATCTAGTGGGGGGTCGCCCTACACTTCGCCTACCGATACGAGGCAGCCACTCGAGAATCTTTTTCCCCAACGGTTGTCGTTTCTTCGAGCTATATGGCCGGCCCATTGCCACTTCAGCTCCAGCTGCTTAAAAACGGCAAGTCCCCGGCGAGGTTGGAACTACAGCAGAGCTTCTGAAAGCGGGTGGAAAACCGGTACTTGAAGTCCTTCAGAGGCTCTTTAGTAGTTACGTTGTACCAGTTCTGGCGCACTTGTAGAAAGGTTGTACCAGTTCTGGCGCACGACGTTCGTC